GATTGTATCTGTATATAGTTGACAAGAAAATTTTGTGAAATGTTTTAATATTGGAAAAAACCTGGAAACGTTAAGGAGTTTGCCCTCAACAATTTTGGGCACTGTCATCAAAACGTTCAATCTCGTTGATGTGATGGTAAAAGCCACTCAGTCATTGTGATGTCCTTCAAAATACCTTTAAAATACGTTTCAGAACCATGAGAATTCAGAGGAATCCTTGAGATAAAATAAGGGAGAAAAATTACGGAACTAATCATTGATCAAAAATGAGGATTACTTGGGTCTTTCCTTAAAATATGGCATTAATATAAACATTTGGCATCAAGCTGTTGCGACAATGGCTCCTGTCCTGAATTGTTAAATGATGCGTAAATATTGCTCTGTATATTCCTTTCGTCAAAGTATTGATCATTTATCATTTTTCTGCGCCTCGTTTGCGCTCAACAGCTTGTTGGAAAATGTACCCCCCCCCCCCCCCCCCTCCCCCACTCCTGCTTACGTCAGGGTCCAGAATAAGAACGAACCTCAGCACAATGTAATGATAATGAGAGGCCTCTCAGCATTCACTGACGCATAAAGTTTGACCCTATTTATTGATTTCCTGTTTTCCTGATTCTCTCGAAAGCTCAAGTTTAGTCTGCTGACTAATAAATAACATCGCGTGGAAGATTAAGCCAGCATGGTCCGGTGATTACAAGAAGAATCATATCTTGGCGGCGGAATTATAAGGAAGAAACGGTAATTTTTTCGAGAATAAGGGGATAAGCGACGTCTACCTTAGTAAAAACTACTGTTGAAAGAAGTATAGATGCTACGGTAAAATAAAGTCTCTGAAGTAAATGGACTTCATTTATTAATTAAGAACTAGAATTTCTGGCTTATCTGTGTAAACGTGTATGCATGTGCATAGGGAAACATATCAGTGCCGTGGCGTGCTTTGCGATGTATAGATTGATCTGCCATTTAAACCTATGGAAAGGAATCGATGAACAAGTGTTCCCAACGAACACCTCAAGAATTGATTTTTTCCTATAGCTTCAAATGGGGAAACATCGATAATTGCGATTACTCGCTATACTGAACCAAATGGTACATACGTTGTTCCTAAACTGAGCCAGAGATTGTAGTTCCTAATTGCAAAGTGTAGTCCAAATGAATAGGTCGTTTTCAAAAGGGAAGGAGCCCATTTTATACGAGCCCTGAAGTGGGGGGGGGGATCCAAATTAGCAGAATTCATCTGAAAATAGACTTTTCTTTAAAGCATGTGATTCAAATGCAGAAAGAGGCATTTGATATCGATGGTAAAAGTGTAAAACCAGTAAGGTCAAACACGTTATTTTAGAATTTCCGATTCTAATTCATTCTCTTCAAAAAATATTGCTGAATAATTTTCTTTAAAGAAAATTCTCAAACACGCAAAAAAAACCTATCGAAAATAAAATGATAGCCATTATCAAAAAAATCAAAACGCAAAGAGGAATCTACAACGTCACAAAACTCTACGAGTATATGGTCGCGCGTAGTTTCACCATCGATGTGGACTTTAAGTTGACAGCCCATCACGCGACAGCGAGTAAATGCGCGGCTTGAACCACATCAAGCTCGCGAAGAAACAACAGTCGACATTTTGAGGATCGTTCCGTTTCGTTGGAGGGAAATGCGATCGTAAGTACCCATCTTATCGTCGTCGCTCCACTGTCGTAAGGGCGCACGTCTAATTTCACATGAGCCCTGGATGTGTTGAATTGTACGGACAACAGAGTTCACGTAAAAATAAAGATACCCGCTTACGTCAGAGCGGGAACGTCATCAGCGGAGTCACTCATCGGAATGCCCCTTGAAAATTTTAGTGTCACAGAGCCGAGCAGAAGGAGGAAACTGAGAAAAAAGCGGGCTCGCTGGGTCAATTCCATATGTGTGTACTGTTTCAGAGGGAGCTTAGCTGAGTTACGGCAAAATGCCGTATGGTCCCTCTACCGTTGCCAAATTCTTCATAGAAAAGCATGATATTTCCTGAAAAAGTTGTGGCGCCTTGGCTAATATATAGACAGTAAAACTGATAAAGTGCGTGTTTCGTTTCGCGGCGCTGCAGATATCCTGTGAAAATGTATTTTGTAAACGGAAAAACACTCAAAATCATTTTCTGAAAACTTCTCTCATTTGTATTTTATATGTGAAGAGGTCGTTAGTAAAATACGTAACGTTGTAGGAGGAGCAAGTAGGGGGGAGGGGGGGGCTGTAGAGCCTTACTGATCCTTTGAGTTGCAGCTCTTGTTCGATTATTTAAAATCGATTATTGTAAAACTTGGAAGCAGGTGGCATTCTTTCTCGGCGAGCTAGAATTTCATCTCAAATTTTCTCAACTCGAAAATCCAAGAAATTTCGGGTTTGTTTATTTCAAGGGCTATAAATTTTGGATCCGCTCGAAGGATCCTACTTACAACTCTTTTTATTTTGTTTTTAAATGGCATAATACACGAATAGACGTGAACAAAACATTAAAATAATATTTCTCATCACACCCCGGAAAAATCACGGCAGACTTGAAAGTGTTCATTTTGGTTTGCCAACGCATGTAAAATAGGCGGTGAAAAATTTGCAACGTTGCAAACTAAGGTAATGGGTGATGAAGAAATGTGTAACTGCGCACGCGCTAGAGTGTCATCTCAGCGGTAATCGTGATCTTCTGCAGCCGTCAGTCAAGTCGAAGCGATACTGTTGTAGGCGCTCTGCGCAACTATTCCGCCTCGGAAGTATTGCACAGTATCAAACGAAATTGAAGGCGCTTTTACGCACGTAAAAGCGCGTTTTTTTTTTCTTAACGTGAAGTGACTAATTCCCTGAACGACATCAAATTCATTGGATTGAATTTCCCAGTTGGGAACTACAAAATCCGGCTCATCTATAACAAATATGTATGGTCATTGGAAAAATAAATGGTTCACACGTTGAGTTGTTTCTAAACTGGCCCAGTTGTTGCAGCTCCTAATTTATTGCGAACCTCAAAAACTTTTGATATGGGGAAATACGCCAAATCTCTCTGATATTTTTTTAATTTAGTGGATTCGGCAACATTCGAATGATGATAGGGCGTTTCTCCTGAGCGCGAGAGGGTTGGTGTCTGGAAAGCGCGCGTCGTTTATTACTGGAGCTAGGGGCGCTGCCGGGTTGATGTGCAACGCAACGAAGCCAGCGCCAGCCGCCTTAACGTGTGACAAATCGCATTTCATAAATGGCCGCTATAAATTACGAACATGGGAAGGATGACGGAAAGAGTGACACCCTTTTCTTTGTACTTGCTCCGGCATACGTCGGAAGTCTTTGTTCGTGGGCTCGCGGCAATAATCCCCCGGCGGATTCTCGGCTTATGTCACTCGCCCAGAAAGCAACAAGCTGAATCAGTGCCGCCGCCCCCGCTCGTTACAACGTCACGCTGCCACGCTCGCTCAAAACACATATTCGACCAAAATTCCGGGGAATATCATTTTAGTGGTCATGGTCCATCTCATAATGCTCGTGAGGGCATTATATTAGTTGCCAAAAATTTTAAGTACGAATGTTATTTGGACGTATTTATGCTAAATGGAACTATGGGCAAGTGGGAAGATGGGATAGTACAATGATAAGATAAACAATATTATACCAAAGCCTCCCCCTCACCTACACCCCGACGTAATGCCAACAGGCGGTTCCGGGGCCTCGATATTATAGATATAGACTAGATATAGATAGTCTGAGACTAGACAATTAGGATAAAATATATAATTAAGACTCTTCAACTGTATGAATGTATCTTTAAACTATAATAAAGAACTTCAAAAAAAAAAATCATTTTAGTGGTCATGGTCCATCTCATAATACTCGTGAGGACATTATATATATTAGTTGCCAAAAATTTTGAAGTACGAATGTTATTTGGACGTATTTATGCTAAATGGAACTATGGGCAAGTGCGGAGAGATGGGATGTGCTCGTTAGTTGAGGGCCATAAGAATGAATGGGGATTTTAAAGCGCTAGTGACGTCAGTGGCAACGAAGCTGTCTCCATTGTTGTTCTTGCTCGGCTTTAACTCATGAGCTCTGTCCACAACACACTTGTTACATGTCCACGACTCACGAGTTAGCGCTCAGTTCTTTTTCATTTAATTGAAAATCCCGCTTTTCCATTTTCTCAAAAGGAACTATATCCACTTTTACATTGTTCCTTATCCGGCTCACCATGAGCACACCCCATTTTTCCTCTTTCACATAGTTCCTTTCAGCATTGATAGCATTTTTCCCCTTCAAAACATGTAAATTAATAATTTGTAGCTACTACAGTTGAACCGATTATTTTCCAAATGACGCAAGTATCAAAAGTTTAAAAATGAGGTTTTTTCCTGTAATTAGGTGTATCTTAGAGCAGAAGAACGTTGGAGAATATTAAATTTTTAAGCTTCAAAAAAATTTTGAATTTACGATTCTTGTCGACCGGTGACGGTTTTCCTATTCTTAAGGTCGTGTTTGTAGTGCTTACGTCGTCTAGAAAATAATCGGTTTAATTACTGTGATTTAGGGGTTGCTGCGGCTTTTCTCAGCTAAGTTACCTATTTTCTCATTTGTCTATACTGTGCACATCATTTAATGGTCTTTTTATTTCTTTTGTTTTAGGTGGGCCCTGGTTCATAAAATCAGTTCATAAAGATGTGAGTGAATGCGACAAATTATGATATTTATTCCTCTCTTATTATAATATTCAATTTATATATTCTTTTATAAATTATTTTTTTTTGTGGGATAGGGGCAAATCGCAAAACTTTGAGCTAATCTCAATCTATGATCGCTCGCAATCTAAATATTGTAAGGTGAAGTTTTGAATGGTTTTCTCTCAGAATTGCTAACATTTTTAGAGATCAAATCAGCTTGTCATTCCCGTTTTTTCTGGAATGCCTATCATTAACTTCAAACTTGAAATTAAATATATTTTTTCATTTGAGTACATTCCTGGGCTTTACTTTTCTTTACGAGGCCCAAGCTCTTTTCCGCCCAAACGAGAAACCTTTTAAATTGCTGTCCTGTTGATCTCCATGGATTCTGATAAGATTCTCTTGCGATAAGGTATTCCTCTCAAGACTGCCATCTGGAACAAAAAGAATCAAAATACTTGTATTTCAAGTCGGTCGGATCAATTCTTTGCTTCATTACCTTTGGAGGATGAGAATAATGAACATCTCATTATTATTTTTGGAAACATAAACCGGAAATCCTCTCTCCATTTACTTAATTTACTCCATTTCCCTCCACACGACTAAGTGATAGTACTCCCTTAAATTAGGTTACCAACCCAAATGTTGCGGTCCTATCCCAACTTGAGTCGCGGCCCTACCACAATTTATTGGAAATGTTCATATCATCCAACAAATTGGGAAAGCACCACAATGGACCACTAGACAAGGTACGAATTTAAGTATTCAGATACATGTATCTTAACCAGAATTTCACGTAGAACACTATTCGCGCAACGAAAATTACTGAAACCAACTTCTAACGGAGATATTAACATTTTTATTTCACATTGGTTACGAGGAATTTCAACTGCCCGCTCACAAGAAATTCAAAGCTCCACGTGAGTCAAATCGCCCACTACAACGGTTTCAGCAGGCTTCTCAATCGAGCAATGTTCATTTCCCACCATGTGTTTTTCAAACTATAAGTAATTTGCTATTGCTGAGCTGAAGTGTCAAGATTGAGGTTGCCAGATTTTTTTTATCACAGAGACGTTCATGATAGCGTTTAGCGCGCGATGTGAATCACGTACAGCAATGAGTTTTTATGAGCGGGTGGTTTCAATTCACGCACCAAGAATCATTAAATATCTTCGAAAGGAGTTGATTTCGGTAATTTTCGTTGTGCACATCGTGTTTTACGTGACATTTTGGTGAAGAAACATACATCAGAATGCTGAAAATCGTACCTTGTCTAGTGGTCCATTTCAGGAGATTGCCCCTAACACATTTCCCCCCTGATTCAAGATTTATTCTTTAAGAGAGCCACTCTTGGAACACTGACGCAAAATTACGTACCAAAATGCTGATGATAAATGAGCTCAAGTAGAAATATGAAAATGGCGAGAAGGAATCCCGTGCCGATGAGCTTGAGAGGGAATAAGAACTCGCTGAGTTTAACGCTCGCGAATTCGGCTCCCACTTTTGCATCGCAGTTGGGCTTCGGCGGTATCCACAAGTTCCCGATCCTGCTAGTAACTCCTGTTTCCCGCTGCCACAGCACTCTATTCAAAACAAAGTTTGCTCAGTCAAAGTTTCCCTCCTTCAATCGAAGAAATATGAAAGAGGGGGAAGGCGTAGAGCTGTATGCTTCCATGCGAATAAAATAATTGAGGAAGCGACTCTGAACGTGCATATTTCGCTCGTTTCCGAGAAAATTGACACAATCCAAAAATTGTCCAGGCTTGGATTACCTACCATCCTTGATACCTTTTACTTTTTCGTGGAAAAATTTCAGAACGTGCAATATTTTGTCGCTAAAAGCGATTTTTGTAGGTGCTTGTTTGCCATATATGACTCGTCTAAGACTTTTTTTTACGGTCGTGCCGAGGATGTGCAAATTCATGACTGCGATAGTGTCCTCAAAAAGGAACCATTTGATAACATGGGCTTTACAACTGAAACGCCGAATCCTGGAATAATGCTTTTAGAGGATCCAGTATCAAAACCTTTTCTTCTTCTAGGAAAGCACAGTTCTCGAACTCACGCGCATGTATTGCATTTGAATTTCCTTCATTCTATCTAAATGAAACTACAAAAAATCGTGTCAAATAAAAGTTCATTTTTCTAAGTTTCCGTGAGTATCGAATAGATTTATATTCACGCTGGAAGGAACTGTAAGAAGATGTATTAAATCAAAAGAAACTAGGTGAATGGGTCACGAGCCACATAGTTCTTTGTAGTTTTATTAATTTCCAAATGGTTTCTTTTCAGCACTAATACGTCAAAATAATCACATTTTTACCGGAAACAATTAAAGCAATAGCTTTTTTTTAAATACTTCTCCGCAGGTATACAAGTTGAGTGAAGTTAATCGAATTATTTCACCACCCACATCGGAAAACACATTCATATGTAGAATCGTGTTTTTTCTGGTCAAGGTTTTATAATATGTATTATAAGATAGAAATCAATACAGACTCTAGTGAAATGTGCTAATTTGTCACTTCTTAAGTTTTCACTCTACAGTCCCCTAATATGTATTGTCCATACGTTTTCGTGTTCAGCGCGCGACGCGAAGCGACGTTGATATTAGCGCCTTGATGCAACTATTCGTTGTCTGCGGATGCCTTCATTGCATAGACACAAAATCGAAGGCGTTTTCGCTGATCTTGAATTAACAGTTTTTCTCGTGGCTTAATGCGCCGTTGAAAATTGCCAGCAAAGGGTTTTGCCGATGTGCTAGAAAAAACACTCATCTTTAATTGAACCAATTTTTTTGCATAAGTTTATCCAAATGTTTCAAAATTATCATGAATAGTTAATTCTCCTTTTCTAAATAAGATGTAGCCATTCGATCAGCCTAGCGGTTGAAATTCTTTGTGTTCAATATGAAAAAAGAAAGAAATTTAAAGAAAAGATTAACGAAGGCACCTGACGAATTTAAATTCGTATAACATATAGGTTGAATTTTCTCCAAGAAATTCGAACTATTCGTTTTCATGAGCAAAATATTCGAAGTACACTGCTGCAAGAGCACAGACGTGAAAATGCAGGATGTCACTGGGGCAAATTTTAGATCACCTCAACCCCAATTTATATACATTTATGCTTGAATGATCAGAAGGACAAATGCATGGAAACATAGCTCCCGCGTTCACTGTCAAGGAGGGTAGCGCTTGTGACATACTTCTCTCCGACTATTTCTTTATACGGTGAATACTTCTTGACCGGGATCGCGAGAATCGGGAACGGCAAGATGTGTAACTCGTGAAGCGCACATTTCTCGCCCTCGGTGTAGGTGTCGCTGATCCGTCTGTATGCAAAGTGAGTGATCAACTGAAAATACGAAAGGAGAACACGGATTGGACTCATGATGCCACACAAAATATGCAGTCTTTCAAGGGACGAGTTTTCGCTGGTAGTTTTGGTTCACGTTTGCACTAGCTTTGCAAGACAAATATTTTTTGCGTCGAGAAGAATGTTCGATGAATATTTCCGTGGCAAAATTTTTATTGGGACAACCGATATGAGTCAGTAAGGGACTGTCCCTAAAATACGTGTTGCTCTGGGAGAAGTGGTGGGAGGGGGGTCGGCCGCGTCCCCTTTGTCTCCTCCCAGGAGGAACTCAATCAAGCATCTTCTTTGGCACCCTCTCCTCCGTCATCCTATTAACATGACCGTACCACACAAGCTGTTTGGTCATGACGTCGAACACGATGTTATTCTCGACTTCCATGATATGAAGCACTCTCTCATTACGAATTCGATCTCTCCTGCAGCATTTTAGAGCATTTGTTTTGCAATTCGGTCTGAATTTTAAGTGAAAAATTCATACTTTGCCTCGAAAATAAATATTTTTCCGGAGAAATTTGGCAACATTCTAACGTTCAAGCGGTGTTTTTCTTTAGCACGGCAGTATTGACCTAGAATCAGACGCACTTGATTCGTAGGTTCTTTTTAAGAAACGGTTCAAAATTAGCTCGGTAAGAAATCCCAGTGAAACCGCGCTCCAGACGTGAGCAAACCGCTTTTTCCGGTCGGCCCGGTCCCCAGCGCCCGCCAACGCGGACCCGAACGCAGAAGGAGCGAACATAATTAAAGTCAGATTCCGAACGACAGTATTCAGGGTGGAGCTTTATTATTTGATGCAAGAAATACCGCGCCAGGTTCAATAGATCGCGTCCCGCCCGAGGCCCAAGGCCCGGCGCGGCGGCGTGACAGCGGTGCAAAAATAAATAAATAATCAAAAGCGTTTTTTAAACTGGCGTCGCGCTCCGAGTTCGGCCGGTCCTCCCGATCCGGCGAGCTGAATATTTAAAGCCCGGCATTGCTCGCGTTGCCGCCGCACAATGGACTGATTCGATAGGAGAAATCGGAGCAAATTTGGAAACTTTGAAAGCTCATGTTTTTGAAAATATAAAACAAAAAAGTTCGACCTCCTATGGTGGAGTGGTTGTAGCGCTAGCTCTCTGATCGGAAGGTCCCGGATACGATTCCCGGCCAGGCGATCCGAGTTTGATGGTCTTAAACAATTGATGCCTGAGACTGGTTGTATGGACGGAGGGGGGACGGGGCTAAAGCGCAAGGATTACTGCCGTGCTAAGGAAGAACGCCGTATAAACATTCGAGAGTTGCCGAATTTCCCTCGATAAAACATGTATTTTTGACGGCATTCATGCACATTTTTCTTTGATTTTTCCAGACATTTTAGATTAAATTGCGCACAAAATTGTCTGAAAATTTTGAAGGAAAATATTCAAAATGTTTCCAGAAAATGTGGTTTATATCGAAGGAAACGTGGCAACGTCTGAAGGCTCATACGGCGATCTTCCTTAGCATGGCAGATTAGCCCTCGTATGCTACTTAAAGTAGGAAAAAAAACGAGGGGCTTGGAGAACAAAACGCACAAGTGCAGTTTTTGCTGTTTCGAGAAATACGTGTTTGAAGCTCCTAATTACATTAATCCTTACGGCAGAAAGAAACTTCGAACTGACTTCCTGATGCTTAAAATTGAAAGGGAGCGAATTTTTCACAGAATGTGCAATGTGCATTAAGACCAGTGTTACTTGAAACCGTTAAAATCTCCATTTTTCCAAGAACTGCACCTATGCACCTTGTCCTCCAGGCCCCTCAAATGTGATACCATTGGGTTTTTTTTTTTTGTGATATTCCTTTCAGGAACACCCTTTAAAACTGCATTTGTGGCAAAATAAACATAAAAATGTGAAATTTCAGCCAAAAATTTAATGTCCGGCTTCCTTTATTAGTTCGTTCCACTGCGCGGCGGCTTCGATTTCCTCAATCAATTATGTGCCTCAAAACCAGGAGACGGCGAAGAAAAATGATGCCGCCTCGCGACTCGGGAGCGAGCGGGGGCGCCCCGCGTCTCACATAGATACACAAAAGTGGCAGGTTTTCTTAATTGAACGACTTTCTCAAACGTCTGGAGCAACTCCATGTAGGTCGCTCTCATGCACGGCCCCGCCATCGCACCCTCTTCTCTCGCATTGGGGAAAGAAATTGAGTCATTCCAGTTTTATGTGCAGTGCATCTCCGCGGATGGGAAGGTATCCACATTTTGTGGCTTCTCTCCTTGCTGAGAATAACGAGCAGGGACAGGTAAAGTATTACGTTGATATCATTGGATCTGTACTGATATCACAAGATTTCCGGAACCTGAATCTAGAAGTCTAGAGTCTCTATTGAAGGGCTTGGAGGACAAGGTGCTTAAAAGCAGACTAGAATACATGGGAAGGGGGACGAAGAGGGCATACCCCCCCCCCCCCTCGTTAGCCCGAAACGCCCAAGGGAGAAGTGTCCTATCGAAGTGTCTGGATCCGCCTATGCATGAGTGCAGTTTGCGTTTTGAAAAAATTGAGTTATCAATGATTTCAACTAAAACAAGTCTTACAATATCTTCTGTTAAAAATTCACTTCTAAAATCCAATTTCCAAGCATCTAAAAGTGAGTTTGAACTTTTTTTTCGCCGTAAGGCTCCACCTAATTTTGAAACTTTATACATGTATTTCTTGACAGAGCAAAAATTCTGCCTTGTCTTCTAAAAGCCCCTCTGTTCGTCTGTAAGGTGATTCCTCCCAGGAAGTGAATAGACATCGATATATCGAACAAATTTTGCTAGAATACGAGTTGGTGAAAAATCTCCTCCGAAAATCCTAAATTAAAGCGAAATGAGACTGAACACGAAAAGCCAGTTTGATTTGACTGATTGAATGCGATATTTCGCGTTTGTCTCATTTGGCTTTAATTTAGGGCTTTCGAGAGAGATTTTTCACCGTAAGACTGTTAAGGGATGCTTCTACCCTGTTGTATGTCTGTTTTTACAAAGAGTGAAAAGCAAAACTCGTATTCTAGCATAATTCGTTCGATGTATCGATGTTTGTTTTCTTCCTGGGAAGAATCACCTTTAGGAAGTGCCACCGACGCATCTTACTGCCGTGATAGCGAAGAGAGCCGTAAGTGCAAAATTTTCGAAGTTGAGTTTTCTTCAAAATTCGTTTAAACTCTTTTAGACGAAATTACTGAGACAGCTTAAATAGCAAAATTCATCCTACTTTAATGAAAACGAGACGTGTATGAGAAAACTGTAAGTGCACAAAAAATGACATAGTTTTTTTCATGACAGCCACAGATGCATGAGAGCCAACGAAAACAGTCCTTTCCAGTAAAGTGCCGCCCTCTTCTGCCAATTTCTAACTTGAAAATGTGTTTGTTGTGCATCCAAAATGCAACCACGAAAGCATGCAGAAGATAGCACTTACGGCTGTCTTGCCTAACAATAACCTAGCATGAAAATGAAAAATACCCTTTTTATGTAATGGAAATAAAATCAGTCGATTTTTAATCATCCATACGATTTAGGAGTCTTCCGGACGATTAGTGGCAATTTGACAAAGAACGGAGGCTTCTTTCAATAAAATGTTCTTGTCAGAAGCTTCTGAGCCCGTTTTCTCAAAACTTCATTTTTGCACTTGCGGCTCTCTTCGCTATCACGGCAGTACGGAAGTGCCACCGACGCATATTAGCCCGCTCTTCATCTGATCCGTAACTAGACTCTCAAGGGTTGCAGACCTGGTGCGGTCGAGCGCGGAACGTAAACTGCAAGTAAGGAGCCGGCGAAAATTCGAACGTGGTTGCCCGGTTGATTGATACATTCCAACCGGAAGTGAGAGGTAAGAGCGAGTGGAGNGGGGGGGGGGGGGGGGAGGGTGCTTTCGCGGGGCACTCGAGGGCCGTGTTCCGCTTGCACCGAAGCTTGGGAAAACTCTAATTTGTCGCGGGATTAAAAATTCCTCGTCGAGTCAACTGGCTTTTCACGGGGCAACTGTTGCTTTTCCCGCCCGCCCTCCTCCCCGCCGGGGATAAGCTCAATATGTCACGAGAATTGCGAACTGCTCTCTTCGGCTTCACTTTTGAGCTTTATTAGCTCCGTTTAATTAGAAACGCCGGCTCGATTTATTGTTGGATAATTAATGGATTTTAAGAGAAGAAATATTGTCGATGTCTCCGGAGGAGCGTTGTCGCCGACTCCGGGTTGTTCTCCGGCTCGGCTGGGCGTCTCTTACGCCCCGTTGCAACTCATTAATTTATTTTCTCGCCGATCCGATCGCAGCGATTTAATCTGCACGGCAATCGGGGACTTTGCAAAGTTTTTCGCCCTGCTTTTACGGATCGAGATTTGAAATTAAGACGTCGAGTCGTAAATCCGGCATCATTCCTCGAGTAAATCACAAAAAACAGTGGAAAAAACACACATTGGATCTAGAGTCCAGACTCTTGAAAACATTGAAAAGTAAAAATACTCTTGATTCAATCGGATTTTTGCTTGAATCAAAACGAAATCCGCTTAAATTAAGAGGCTTGGTTCTTGACTTAAGCTAGATTCTGATTGAATCACGAGTACTTTTCTTGTCGATGTTTTTAAGAGTCTGGACTCTAGATCCAATGTGTTTTTTTCCAGTGAAACTGCCAGAAATGTTTAAACACATCGATGTCCAAGGTGCAAAACAACGTGTCTCCTCTGTGGTATTTCAAAACGTCAGCTCCTATTTTATTTTTCGAGAAGAAACAACAAAACTTTATAACTTGAAATCGGACCGCATTCAGCAGAAAAGAACTAAGCCACATCAGTTATTGCCAATTTTAAATGGGCACTTTAATACTCTACAAGAGAACGTTTGTGCGGATTCCTTTGAAAAATTTGAGGAATTTGCTTCGTACTATTCAGAAACTGAAATATGCACAAAAATCCGCACAACCGTTTTAATGTAAAAAAATAAATTTCCCAATTAAGTTTGGCAATAGCTGATGTGGCTTAT